CACACACACACACCTTACTCAAGGAAAATAATTTTTGAAAAAACCGTGACAAACTTAACACTGAGCTTCTTTATTTTTCTGGTTTTAGGGATTTGGGGGTTTTGGAGAAGGGATTTGGTGTTTTTTTGTGGAGGCAGGGTTTGTTGTTGGTTGATTTGTTGTTGGTTGTTTGCCTCTTTTTTATTATTTCTTTTTTCTTCAGAATAAACGTGCAGCATCTTACTGTCCATTAGCTAGAACATCCAGCTTCCAGTAAAAATCCCATTTTTAAGAATGACACTGTCAACACAGAGGAGACTCAGAAGAGTTGGAGGATTGCTGTGAACAGGTACTGCATGTAAGAATGAGGCAGACAAACAACTTCACATCTTCCAAAGCGCAAAGGTATTTTTAAATTGAAGGCTGCCCTCTGAAATAATTTAAAATAGCTCTCTATCTTAGGAAAGGTTTATGGTTAACTGATATGTTATTTGCACTTTCTCCCAGTGCCTGTTAATGCCCACGTTTGGATCTTCAGATTTTCCACTGTGTACTTTTTGTCGGAATAAAACCTTGGACTAGAGATAAGGCGATTTCAAAAAATGTATTTCTAGCAGCTCACACTTCCATTCCACCAGTCTGGGCTCGAGGCTGTGTCAAGACCATGAAGTACATACTCTTTCTCGCCTTTGTTGGTGTGGCTGGTGAGTATATTTTTTTACTTTTTGCTGATGTCGTTTATGAGGAAGATAATTTTCTGAGCAACTTTGCAAAGTAGTCTGTTCAGGGAAAGTGAAGTCCAGTTTCAACCTGTAGAACTTTTAAGGGAGAGCACTGCAGCTTCTTTTGGCTGCTGTCTCTTTGTTTCACTTAATGTGGCTCTTGACTGAGGAATAATGAAACGCGTACATAGCTTCAAAAAACACTGTCTCTCTCTAAGGACTATGATGGTGCAAGATAACACCTCTGAAGGATAACTCACAATAGTTACCTCAGAAAGATAACTCAGGAGGTCCTAAAGATGCTGTCAGTTTTTTGAGTAAGGGCAGGTGCTCCATGGAAATGCCACCGCAGACTTGCTTTTTACTTGCGCTCAGTCCACTGTTGGCTGCTACTGCAGACAGGATTCTGGGACAGACCCACCTTTGGAGCAGCAAATTAACATCCATTAGACTTGCCCAGTGCTGCTACCATGAGATTATGCAGAAGAACAGCCTACAAGTGAGAGGCTTCAGTCAGTCACAGGGGAACAAGACGCCTTATGCCAGGTGTTGACATATGCCACTTCTTGTCTCCCAGTTGCCTTCCCCATCAACAGTGATGATGATGACGACAAGATCGTGGGAGGCTACACCTGTGCAGCGAACTCTGTCCCCTACCAGGTGTCCCTGAATGCTGGCTATCACTTCTGTGGAGGTTCCCTCATCAACAGTCAGTGGGTCGTGTCGGCTGCTCACTGCTACAAGTCGTGAGTGGAAAAAAACTTATTCTTCTGTAATCTATTTCTTTCTTCCAGTTCACTTCTAGCAGGAATTCTGAGTGGAGACGTTCACCTGTGCAAGCGACTGCATTCTAACAGAAGGCAACCAAGAAATGGGTGACTCATTCAGGAAGCCGGGCTGGGACATCATAAGGGGTTTTCCACTTCTGCAAACGTTTCTGTGAATGTAGAGCACTTTCTGAAACGACAACGTGATGATCTAGCAATGAGTTGCAGGCTGTCCTTCCTTATAGATCACCTTAATCTTGCTACAACTTAGTCACTAGAAGACAAGAAGAGGAGCGAGGTCAGGGTGATAGCAGTCTGCCTCTTTCCAGAATATTTCTGTCAGGCACTGTAGTATATGTAGCTTGTCCCAGCTCAACAAAAGAGACCTGGAGCAATTCACCATTTGTGCTGGTGGTGGGAAAGATCTCAGTGTGGATCCCCAGGACTTAGTGCAGGGCAAGAAAGATGACCTGCATGAAAAGAGCTACTACCATAGCAATGCTGAAGCGAGTGCATACAGTGACAAGGAGGTTTGTCACAGCCTGACGGCAGCAGTAAGTTATATGCCATTCCTTCTCTTTTACAGTCGCATCCAAGTGCAGCTCGGGAAACATAACCTGGCAAAGAAAGAACCAACAGAGCAGTTGATTAGTTCAGCCAAAGTCATCCGCCACTCTGGCTACCGCCCTTCGACACTGGACAATGACATTATGCTCATCAAGCTTGACAAACCAGCCCAGATCAACCGCGCTGTCCAAACCATTCCTCTGCCTACCAGCTGTGTGGCCACAGGCACCACATGCCTGATCTCTGGCTGGGGCAACACACTCAGCAATGGCAGTGAGTACTCATGAGGGCCCGGGGGACACTCACAATTGACTCCCAACAGTACTGGGAAGTGCTGTGGGACAGGAGTAGCTCTGACCTCCACACTTGCCCATGGATTATTTTCTAGGTATCCAAAAAATAAACACGGCTGCAGGGCAGAAGGGGGACCCATGGGTAGAGTCTGTTCCGTCTAAAC